TATATATATATATATATATATATATATATATATATATATAAAGTAATCACAATAGCACTATTACCAAAAACATTTGATCACTTGAAACATTTGATATTTCCACTTAAGACCTGTACTCTTAACTTCATAAATAATGTTCTGTTGAATATCAAGAAGAAACACAGAGGTTTTTGAGTGGAACCATTAACTACTGCAAGTAAGGTACTTAAACTTTCTTTGAACACAAAGCTTCTTTCAATATCAATTATACATGTACACATTATGCTTTCAACTCCACTCACTCTTTCAAACACACAACAACAAAGCTAACAGAAATTATATACAAGCTGCAATATCATATGTGGTGGGTGCATTAAATTCAAGGGAGTTTAAGAGAAGGCTTGATAAATGTCTAAATGATAAGGGTTGGCCTTGCAATCTTTACTGTTTTTTATTCAACATATATAGATTAGTGGATGGGACAGCTAAGATGGATCAACAAGTCTCTTGTTATCCTTAAATTTAAAAAACAAAGAAAATTACCTCATTTGAGTTGTAATCAATAGATCTATAAATAGACCTTAAAGGTCTGTTGTCTTTACTAATCACAGCAGAGCACTGCTTTGATGGCTTGAGTGATTTATCCACCATTACATGCCAAGATTCATTACTTCAACAAAGTTTAAGTTTAAAAACAAGTCTGCTTCTTCCAAAGCTTAGCTTATTATCCCTAATAATAATATTGAATTTCATATTTACATTCTTTTTATTGTACCACCATTCTAGAATACCATCTAAAACGTCCCATCCTTTAACAACTTTAAACATCTGAATTACATCTAGTTCTTCCACATTTCTGATAAAACAAGGCAAAAACTAAGTTTTCCTTGCCACTTACGATTTCTTAAACAAAGCATCATTATATTGATATCCTTGAAATGAAAGGATCAAAACTATATGCAATGCTCCAAGTAAGAATGCTATTTATTTTGACTGATGAATTTAAATATGACTTAAGATATAATACTAACAACTGAATCTCTCTCAGCTGAAAAAATAGCTGGACAAATTCACAGGTTTACTACAATCACAAACTGTAAACTGATGTAACTTCTCTTTTACTAGTATTTTATCATACCAATTAAAAAATTTGTTAATACTACTTAATATTAATACTTTTATAACACCTGCACTGGCTGTAGGAATTTAATAGTACGTTATCAGTTTATAGCAACACTTATAATAGTATTAATAACAATAACGCATGTAGGCTGTAGCGATATAAATAATTGATTTACAAAATTGATATCACAAAGTTTGTAAAACTACAACTACAAGTTAACATCTCAGACAGAATCAGAGACACTTCACATTTTCTCAACGTAAATTTAAAACACGTCTAAACGCTAAAGCATTGCTTTAAAGTTTAAAACTTTCTTAAAAATTGTAAAACATATACTATTCATACTAACCATTTTTTACTTTATTCCAGTAAGATATGTTACTATTTATAGTCATTGATCTTAAGCTCCGTACAAAAAAACAACAAAAAAACATGACAGTGATAACAATGCTTGTAGTTTTCTGTTGTATTTACATCCCAAATGTAACACTAACAATTGTAAACACAGCAAGTGAATTCTGATAGCGATACTATCGAGGCTAATGACACAGTAATGTCTTCAAAGTAGAGTTTTACTAGTTCTCGCATTAACCTGCAGTATTTTTATTAGTGTTACTTATTACTATTAGTTACTAAACGGATTTAACGTTTAGTTTCAATATTTTCAACGTTTAAACAACTGTAAATTTCCGCCTCACTTAAGTTATGCAACCTACGTCGAAAATTTTACAATTATTAAAATTAATAACGATTAAATTTTTACACTTTCTCAGTCGATCAAATAGCTATTTTTTTATTTAATACTTAACGCACCTAGAGTCACAAATAAACACTTAACGACAAAACTTATACTTACACAAGTTACAGTTCGAACTGTTTAACACATGACATTAGTCTTCTGTTTACTTCTGACTTCTAGTTGTACACTACTTCAACAAATGCGAGTAAAATAAGATCACACCAAGATTTCATAACGTCTGCGCACACACATAAAAAAGTATGGTATCACGTGACACAGAAGCAAAAGTTTTACTGGTACACGGTTTGTGTTTTCCTTGTCGAAAAAAATGATAAAAAAAAGGAGGTTAAAACAACAGCTAGCTTTGTTAGGCGCTCCAGTAAACTTAGCTTTTATTTTGTTGTATAAAGTAATTTTGCATTTTATGAAGCAATACAAAAGATTACGTTACTTTGACATAATAACTAATTAGAAGTTAGAAGGAAAGTTGGTTAAAAGAATATTTTATTATAAGATATTCTAGATTTTATCGTAACTGAACAATCGAATGAGGATTTAGTCTCGTATTTTGTTCAATACTAAAGTATTTTTGCTATAGTACTGAGGCTATATGAACGTTTAAACTTTTTTTTAACTAGAGTGTATCTGTATTTATTAGGCAGTGTATCTATCTTGGCATATTATCAAAACCTGTAAGACCTAAAATACTCGCAACTTTTTAGATTTTTATTTCATTTTGAAATGAAGTTTGACCATTTATTATTATTATTATATTGCATTTTTATTTTTCATGAAAGCTATCTGGAGATCTTTAACTAGGCGTAATTTTTAGAGCGAATATAAGCAAGGCCTTTATCTCTAGCATTATTATTTTTTATTATTTAATGTTTCGCCTTATAGGATACTTCAAGAGCTTTTTTCGCTCTCCATATAGATACACTCAGAGCCATCTATAGCTCCGGAAACACAACTGTAAACAGACATTTCCTCGTGTATAAATGGTTCAGATTTCAATAACTTTTGCTTTTACCCATGAAAAAGACAAGTATTTGGAACTGTCAAAAGCACAAGAGATTTATAGTTTCTTGAATGTGGACTAACAATGTAAAACACCAGGCTTTGAAATTCTCAGAAACTAGTATAATTCAGCGACATATGGTAAATGGAATGATACATAGGGATTCACGTTTATTTTTGTAGTATTCTTTGAAATTCTATCAAAACGGTATTCATGAGCAATAATAAGCGACAATAAGTACTACAATTATATAATATATTATAATCACGTTTCGCCAGCTTAAAAAAGTGTTTACATAGTAACAATATTTAAATAGATTACGGCAAATAAAGTCCAACAAAATATCAATACAAGGTGGTTTAGAGATATATGCACACATACACACAACCATTAATACTGGAATTACACTACTAAAATATATGAATTATCCTGATAAAGAAATCTTCACTTTTAAACTTTACAAAGAACACCCAACCTCTGTATTTTTTTTTTATTGGGGGAATTGTTATTATTGTTTGTTATTAAGCACAAAGCTACACCAAGGGCTATGTGTGCTTTGCCCACCATTGGTATCGAAACCAGTTTGCCAGCATTGTAAGTCCGCAGACATTCCGCTGTGCTACTTAGGGGCTTTTATGGGGAATTGAAAATTGATTATGTAAACAACATAATCTAGAAAACTGCATCCTTTGGCCTAGATTTTTACATTTGATGAGTGTTTCTCCATTAGTCAGCCACATTTTTCACCATGCATTAGGGCTTTGAATATGTCAGATGTAAAAGACTGTTTAGTGTAGGTAGAATTATTAATATATTTATTTTGTGTGTTATTCATTGATGGCGAAGCTATAGAGATTTCTAGAAGGCTTGAGTAATAGATATATAAAGAGCTGCGACAAGACAAGAGGAAACAGAGAGAAAGAGAATAAAAAGTAAAGTCACGGAAAGAGAATGTTACGTCTCCGTTTGTTAATTAACTTTCCGTAACTTCTTTCCGACGACACTTTAGCGACACAAGTCCTTACTTAATAAAACTGGTTTATTCTTTCCGAATATAACTTTACGATACACTTTATTTCAACAATCGCGCTCAAACAAACGCTATAACAACCAACGTTAACTTCAACAACACGTCTCTCTCTGACTGCAGTTCAATTACTCATTACCTACACACACATTCTTGT